TCTCAGATCCTTTCTCATACCAAGCATCCTACATAAAGGAAAACACACTGTATGACAAAGAAAGTCAAGTTAGACCACAAGTCAGAAACACACGCATCTGGCCAATAGGACACAACACACCCTTCCTTTCCAAAGCATGATACAGACTCTTCCCTGCTCCTCTAGACAGCTGGCTCTAGGAAGCAGTTTGTGAAGTCTCCACCCGTTCACCTTCCAATCAAATACAGAAAGGCAAAACTTTGCTGGGGACTATTTTGCCTTAAAATGGAGGTGGGGAGGTTGTGCCAAAGAAGTCATTCCTTGGAGATAATTCAAGGTGGTTTGGGGGGAAAAATAGATTTCCCATTTCATCTCTTTTTCTCCACACACCCAAATAAAAATTCTTTAGGGAAACTGTGAATATGGTTGCATTTAGGATGAAGCCAAGGGAGGGGGTAAAAACTGAAACTTTAGAAAGAGTCTTGGAAGGCCAGAAATCTGTGCAGCCTAGGCCAGCACGCAGGTTGCTCTGTCCCTGAGTCTGAAAGCAAGGACTAGCAGGGACCTTCCTGAGGTGGCCGCAGCCGGGCCTGGGCCTGGGCCTGGGGGTGGGGTGGGAACCGGCAGAATGGGAAGGATTGGCTGGCCCCTTCCGCCAGGGCCAGCTGATGTCCCCAGGCCAGAAACAGTGTCCCACCCAAGGACTCCGCTTCCATCCTCTGGTTCCATGCCCTTCTGTGACATCAACTTCTGATAATTAAGGGCTTCCCAACAAGCCTTTTAATTTCCAGAAAACATATCAAAACAGTCATTTTCTTTTCACATCCCACCTGGAGAAGTCTATTCAATGCAGGCGCCGGTGGGAATATAACTTGGGCCATTTTGAAACCTAGTTGACATCTTGCCTGTAGGCTAAAACCTGTGTGGTGTGTGCACATGTGTTTGTGTGTGTGTGTGTGTGTGTGTGTGTGTGTGTGTGTGTACCACTCTTGAAGTGAGGACAGAAGGAAAGGTAAGAAATGGAATAAGGGATTACAGTTGAAACTAGGCCAGCTTCTGGTTTGCACATTTTGCAGGCCATTTAATCTTTGCCCTTGGAGAACAGATTGATAGGACACAAACACTCACAGGCATCCCTGTTAGGTACCCCTTGTGGACACGATTCCTGTTTTGAAAACAGGAAGTTTTTTGAGATTCATTGTCCTGAAACAACATGGTCACAGATTCACATCCAACTTTGGTCAAACCTCTACAACACTCCCATCCGTAGCAATGTTAAAAAATGTTTTAATGAGAAAGTAAGACAGAAGAGAAGAAAAACACAGAACAATACAACAGTCCCATCTGTATTTTCCCTTTCACACAGACCATAGTTTAGAGGATCTTGTAACTTCAGTGGTCACCAAAACAAAGCTGATTCACACACAAGGAAAAGGGAAAAGGAGAGAGGAAAAAACAATTTTTGTTTCTCCTGACAACGAGATGCAGAGACCCCGCAGAGGTAAATGCCTTACTTTGTAGCCAGGAGCATGTTTTTTCTTGTCACTTGCTCATTGGGATCGGAATGTTGTCGGTTGAGAAATTCAGCTACTGCTTTGGCAGGAAATTCAGTTTCACACACGTACCCAAAGTCCCTGGCTAGATGGACAGCTTCTCCTGGCAAGAGCAGAGAGGCAGGGCAAGAGAATGAAACGCTTTAGGATCAAAACTTCCTTTCTGCTCCCAACTCCCTTATTTTCTTAGCCTAGAAATTGAAGGAAACGCAAACTACTTGTTTTCTCATCCCAGACATCTGATTTCCTTCTCTACAGGATCTGGTAAGTACACTCCTCCGTAAAAGTGACCTCTTGTCCTAAAAGGCCAAGATGATTTGAAAATGTGAATCCCACCCACCAACCTCCACTCCCATGCTCTGCCCTGACTGACATTTCCCACCTTCTCTCTTAAAATGGTTCTTGTATTCCAACCTCACACTTATCAACACATAAATGATATTCATAATTACTCCTTGGGCTTTTCTACAAGGGAACCACTGAGAGTTTACATTTTAACTTGATCACATATAATTATCTGTTCATCCAAACCGATTAACCAAGAGGATTTGAGGGTCACTCCACTGAGTCTGTCTGTGCTGTTGATTTTCGAATCTTTGGTTTTAATTTCCTGAACCAGTTGGTTTTTACTGCAGGGCTTCCTGCCATTAGCTCCAGCTCCGGAAGAACGCATGCGCCAATTAGAGCATCAAAGCCCTCTCCGCAGAGCTTGTTTCCATAAAATGGAGCGGATCACAAACAATAACAGTTCTCCAGAAACTGCCTGCCTGCTACAGCACACAACCCCCAGACCCACACCATCTCTCACGCTACCCCCTAAGCCACCACTGTCTTTCCATGGCATATAATTTTTTGGGGTATGAATAGAGTTTGTCTGTGTGCTGCTATTATTTTAATATAATGCTATTTTAGTTGAGTTTCTGGTACTGAACAATTACTGGCTTCTAAAACTGTTATATTATCGACTTTGCACCATTCACAAATAGAAAACATACATTTCCTCCGCAAATACGAGGTTTTAGACCTTTTTTTAGTAACTTATAGAGCTAGAACTTGGATTTACTTGTAATATATCTCCTCAAAGACAGATGTAAATGAGAGAACGCCTTTCGACATGAAGTTTAGCTTTTAAATCTGCCCAATAATTTGTCATTTTCCCCATTAGCATGAGACACTTTTACAGATACACACAGAAAAATGCAAGAGACCTATACAGCCATTCCCCAAACACCCAAACTTGAGCCAGTTTAGTATCAGAAAAATCTTGGGACTCTAAAGGACATAGGAATGTGAATGGATTGTAGGGTCAGATTATCTAGAGCAGGGAGTGAGGACGTGGTTGTCTTTTTATTTCAGGGAGTTTGGAAGGGTAAATATGTGGGTGTGTGTTAAAAACTACCATGAGAAACTTATTTTGCAATGCTTGTATTTCTTTTTTCCTTTCCATATCCAAACAATCCGAAGTCCAAAATGGCTTTCTTTCCTTCCAGGAGAGAAGCACAATTAAACAAGAGATAAGAGAGCGTATGTTTGGGAAACAAAAAACTACAAGGGCATAAAACCCTCAGCTTTCGGGGACAGTCTTAAATCAGGATACAGGTCAAAGATTCCCAAATTAATTCAGGAAGTAATGGTCACGCATTTCTCAAATGCAGATGTCAGAATAACTTAAGTAATTTACTGCTGAGCTCTTTAAAGAATTCTTGCAGAATGGGCAGTTCTGAAATTTGTGCATTGTTTATGTCAGAAATGGGCTGCAAAGGTGTCATAATGTGATAGAGGGGCAAAAGGAAGAAGGAGAGGAGTATGTGTAAATAGTTTTTTGCATGCAAGAATTCCATTCACTTCTGGCTATATGCTTTGGAAAGACGAAACTGCCCAGTTGACACAAAATACCCGAACATCTGGCCACTAAATATTATCTATTTTCCCAGAAGGCAGTTCCTTCCTAGTTAGCAAGTGGATTCGCTTACCCTCCACTAGTGATGTAAGCAGGGTAACGTTGGCAGCTTTACGTCTCCCTGCTGGCAGATTTAATCCTATTTTGTCCAGTTTTTCTCTTAGGGATCTTCCGCCATTTTTAGACTTCGCCCTGTTTCACACAGATACATACAACATAAGGATGTAGAAAACGCTGAGTTGCTCTGCATCAAATGAAAATCATTTTGAAAGCTTCCTGAAATGTGTTTTTAAAAACATGTGACCCTGAGACATTTAAAGGAGGGGAACCTGAGAAGAAATGGTACAGGAGGGTCACGAGGAGATAAATGGTTGTTAAACTGTAAAGCACCCCCTGTGTTTAGTTATTATTGCAACTCTTGTGGCACATTGGAAAGTTTTGATTTCCCAACTCTCAAAAGAAGACCACAGGCAAATAAACATGGCTCTGATCTAGGGTTTGAGGTATTCTCGAGTTCAACTGACTATTGTATATTTTCTCTGTTCTTACAATCACACAAATCCCAACGGGGTCTTTAAATTGTCTTTGCCAGATCTGCTGTTCGGCTGTTCAGAGTAACCAAAGTTATCAGCACTCTTGCGTCTCTTGCCCTGCCTCGGCCCCAACGGGAAACTCATTTCACCAACTGTTTACATGCCGTGTCACCAGCCTAGTGGGGACCGTCAAAGCCTGACATCAGCCTCTCAAAATTTCGCCAATTTCAGAAACAATAGAGGCGGTTCTAAATAGATGTCTAAATAGACTCCCATAATCAGAAAGTGGTTAAGATACATTGTTTAAATAAAACAGCAAATTAATTAATTTCAGATTTTATTCCCTACTCAAGTGCTCTTTAATTGTGTGGATTAGATTATACTCCCCTAGGTAAACAGTCTCCAATACTGGGGGGAGGGGGAGGGGAGGAAAAAGCAGAGGGCAGAAAAAAGATCTGTGTCAGGGAAAGATTACAAAGAGAAACAAAACGACCGAAGAAGGAAGAAAAAGTCCAAATCGTTGATGTTAAAACGTTCCAAACCCTCTTACAGGATTTGTATGGGATATGCCCACCAGACTGGAACTGTGGGCTCATAAATAGATAAATGAATCAAAGTCAAAATAACGAAGTCCTTGGTCTTAATTAAGGGGGAGGAGGTGGAGAAGGATAATAAACACCTTATGCTGCTAAGTTCAACACAAGCCCCGCAATGCACATGGCTGAGGGAGACCAGGAGGAGGAAGCCCACAGCAGGGGAAGCCTGCGCTGGGGATGGTGCATTACCTCGCCGGCCCTATAAAAGCTTATCTCTGAAATGAATCATTGCCACCTCGTGGGGTGACAGTCCTCGCCACAGAAGTGAACACATGCAATCTTCGGTGGCAACTTCGCCCAAAGCACGTACACGTGCCTGGCACGCAGCACAGCGCCTGGGGCCGTCAACGCCGCTGCCTTGCTCAGAGGGTAGCCAGCCGGAGGGAGGCGACAGCGCCTGGGGGCTATGGGGCACCCACTGCGGGGAAACTGGTCTCCCCCTTAGCTAAAAGCTCTGCTGTGAAAACCGTGTTCAAAGGATGGCTGGGGACCGTCGAGATCCTACCCGGTGGTAAGGCAAAGCGAGAAGGCCCAGAGGAAGTTTTCCTGGGCTTGCAAGGTGCGTGCCAACAGGGAAAAGACGGCCGCACGGCGCCCCGCGGCTGCAGAGGCCGGGACTGAGCCCGCGGCGGAACGCGCTGCGCGTGCGCGCAGAGC